ATATTTTTGTCTAATGACATTAGAGATTGTTTTCTTTGATAGGATATTCACCTCATAAATTCTATATTCCTTTTGGTTGGGTTATCATCCTGCGTCTTATATTTCTTTCAATCATCCCATGCCTTATATTTTTCATGGTGTTGTTATTACCCTACGCTTTATACTTTTTTTTGATCCCATGTTCTTCCTCTCAAGCTACGTTATCACCCTTTGTCCTTTTTCTCAGGTTGGGTTATCATCTCGTGTCCTTTCTCTTCGGTTGGGTTATAACCCAATCTCGGGTTGGGTTATACCCCCAATCTCGAGTTTGTTTATCCCCAATATCCCTTTTTTGCAGGAATATCTCCTTATATGTCTTATTATACTCTTGGATAAGGTTATCACCCTCCTTTCTTTCAAGTTAGGCCATCACTCGATACTCCTCTCCATTTGTCTATTAACCGATATCTTGTATACATTTTTCATTAGGTTTATCACACATTAAGTCCTATATTTATCTTGAATATATGGGCATCCTATGCCCTTTCTCTTGAGCAAAGTTACACTCCATATCCCTCTTGGTAGGTTATCACCCCATGCCATGTCCTTGTAATCTATTAGGGAGGATTACTGATGCAGGACTAATTAGATGCGATGATTATGTAGTCATTTAGGCATTGCACAACTCTTAGAATAGAATAGATCCATGATACAATTACTTAGCAATTCTCAACGAAGATTCAAAACAAATAAGGAAATGATTTGCTTAAGTGAGGTTACATGCTCTGAACTTTGAAACTTTCAAAATAAATAAGAAAATCACACAACGCAAACAGTAGGCTTCAAATTAAACCCTAATCTAACAACGAGACGTAGGATGCATAGAAGATTACACTCAATTCCTACAAATGACTAAGCTTGGCATGAGCAATTGCAGGAGCTTTCGTGATTACAATCAACCAATTGAGAAGTTAGACTTAGAAGAATTTGAATACTAGTAAAAGGAAAACCTTTTGTTAAGAAGACTTTGAAATCCTCCACTCTATGCTTTCGAAGTGCTTGTCAATAGATCTCGTCATTCATTGATGCTTGGAAGTAGAACCTCCTTGATCTTTGATCCGCCTCGCAAGTGGGTACCAAGAGAACGAAGTTTCTCCTTGCAAACGAAGAGGAGGCAAGATCTCAAGATTTTAACCCCAAAATCTGAAACAGTTTCAGATTTAAATAACCCCAAAATCTGAAACAGTTTCAGATTTAAACTTAAAATCTGAGAAGGAAAATCTCAGATTTTGGGTAGAGGAGGGTGGGAATTAGTGGAAGAGGGCTAGGCGTGAGTCTCTGTTGGAGTAGTTGAGAGATGGGGCGGCTAATGAGGGGAGGCGGGATGCTGAGGATGGGGTTTTGGGAAATCCCTAAATCAATTACTTGATTTAAGAACTAATTGACGTCATGAGGAGATTGGGGAATTTCGGCCATGTGGGGGAATTGGAGTTTTGAAATGTTTCCTAAGTATGGTATTGAGATTAGGAAATAATTGGAGAAGTAATTAGTGGGTGAGGGCATGAAACCGGCGGCATGCAGGGAGGATGGGAGGGAAATTGGAGAAGTAAATAAGTTTCCTAATTGAATTTCATAGGATTGGAAAGTAGTGATTTATTCCTCTCTTAATTAAAATTCAAAGGGGATTGAATTTGAAAAGTTTCCTAAAATAGAATTAGGGAATTTAGGAAGGTTAATTTGAATTTCAAATCTATTGAGTTTGAATTTCAAACTATTTCCAAATTCATTCAAGCCTAAATTAGAAAATTTCAGGGGGAAGGATGATGGGAGGTGGCCGGCGGGTTATGAAGGGGTGGCCAACGGGTGGTGAAGAGGTGGTCGGTGGACCTATGGGGGAGGGGGGGCTCGGGTAGGAGAAAACGTGGGCTCCGGTGATGTGGCCGGTGGCTTGGGTGGAGGATGGGGGAAGTTCAATGAAGGAGAAAATGAAACGATAACAAAGAAGAACAAACCACGAACCCGGCCGTATCCAAGGTTGGTGGGTAATGCGCCAATCTCGCTCTCCACGGGATCTCTCCAACGTTCTCTCCAAGAACTCTCAAACGCTCTCAAGCACAAGTGTAGGAAAATTTCATAATAATCATTCATTAACCATAATAGAATAAAGTGAGGCTTTAAATAGCCTCCTACAACATGACTCAAAATAAAAGACACAAACGCCCTTTGGGCTTACATACGACAACTCCCATAAGAGGGGTACTACGGGAAAGAAAACACATAAGCAACTAAATAATATAAAAAATACAACGACTCTAAATGCCACATAAGCAAATAACAAGCTACATGAAAATAAAATACATCAACGACACAAAAATATAAAGACCCTATCGTGGCCGTAGATCGTCGGCCGCGTCTCTGATAAACTCTCCATGATGATCTGATGTCCCCATCAATTACTTGGCTACCTTTGGGCTTACATACGACAACTCCCATAAGAGGGGTACTACGGGAAAGAAAACACATAAGCAACTAAATAATATAAAAAATACAACGACTCTAAATGCCACATAAGCAAATAACAAGCTACATGAAAATAAAATACATCAACGACACAAAAATATAAAGACCCTATCGTGGCCGTAGATCGTCGGCCGCGTCTCTGATAAACTCTCCATGATGATCTGATGTCCCCATCAATTACTTGGCTACCTTTGTCCATGCTATTTGTCTGGTGGAAATGGGGACTTGCTCCTCTTGATAAGGTCATTATCTTGTAATCCCCACATTTGATTTGGGAGGGTTACCTGACTATTTTCTTGGGGTTTTTTTTTTTTTTTGTGTAAAGGTGGTAGAGGTCACCGGTCTCTCGGTATTGTTATCACCTTGTAAATCCAATGTCTTTCTCAATTCCAACCGTCGCTATAGATCCTTTGTTGATTTCTTACAATCTCACCTCCATATTTTTCTTTCAATAGGGCCATCTGCCCCAGCACCATTCCTTGGGATAATGTTACACCCAATGTTCCTCTTGGCTTGGGTTATCCTGCCACAATAGTAAAAAGGCTGCATCGGATCTAGAGGAAGTGACTCACGAGAGGTTGTGAGAGATATCTGAAATTGTTGAAGAAATCGGTCAGCCTTTCTGAGAGAGAATGATAAATCCAATGAGGAAGTAGTAGAAGTAAGTAGGCCTAGATTGGACGTGGAAGCCTGCTTGCTGGTGGGAAGATAATCAAGTTTTTTCCAATAATTTTCATGAGGTTGATTAGTTCAACTGCAAATAAGGGTAGGGAGAAAATGAAAGCTAATTACGGTAGTGATTGCTGCCATTCTGGCCATCTCGTTTGCGATTCCTCTAACCACCCTTAGTGCCAGTGGCCAATATGTAGTGGTAAAAATTTAGAGGTTAGAGGAGTTTAGAGATCAATGATGTGAAGAATTTGGAAGAAAGTGATTGCAATGTTGGGAATCACAGAATTTGTCTTTGATTGAGAAAAAAATGACGAAAAACCTCTACCGAACAGTCAGATCACACCGATTTCTACATGTTGGTCATTTTTTTTCTCTCTCTTTAAATATCTTACAATCTTCTGTCTTTCAATTTTTTTTGCCTGCTAAGACTTTTTTTTTGCCCCACGTAATGGGATAAAAGGCTTAATTTTGTTGATGTTGATATTTCTGTTTGTTAACAATTTTTGTTAACTTTATTAACTTGCTTTCTCAAAATCCATTTGACAAATGGAAGATCTGCACTAGAACAAAAATTTTGAAGCGTTGAATAAGGCTTCGTTGGGGAAAACTTTCTTATTATTTCTTAAAAGAATTTTTCTAGTATAAAAATTTTAATTTTTTGTACTAAAAAGCTGTTTTAAGAAGCAGTAAAAAAGTCGGAAGGCTAAGTTCTTTAAAAGTGTAAGTTAATCGTTTCCAACTTGATAAGAGGTTATATGCATATAATATCAATTTTACTTTTCATTATCATCTAATATTCTGTTTTCTTAAAAAAAATAATAATAATAATAATAATTTCTGTTTTCTTAAATGCGATTAGTGTCATCAAATGTAAATTTATTAAAACATTTGCTGCATATTCGACTTTGGGATTATTTTGTGCTAAACTTGTGTCTGGCTAATAATAAACAAACCTAGTATAGACATATTCTTCTTTGTAATTAATGTATTTGAGATTATTTGCATTAAAACTTGAGCCCACAGTTCATTCTTTAGATATTTTTAATTGATGTATTTGAGATCATTTGTATTAGAACTTGAGCCCACAGTTCATTCTTTACATAAATGGGACGATTGCAGTTTGTTTTTTTAAAGATGATTGTAAAATTGTTGTGAAGTAAATAATATTTTTGAAAGCTGTTGTAAATAATTTGAAAAGAGAAGCAATAAGACAACTATTTTTTCTAACATATTTATAATAATACTATACTAATTAAATAAAAATATAGCTGTTTATGTTTTCTATCATGCGCCTCTTTTATCTCAGGTGTTACAAAAAAAAAAAATAAAAATAAAAATAAAAACAAACATCTAGTTAAATCTTTTTAAGTCTATCTCTATCTTTCTTAATCCTAAGAAATTCTTATTTTTATTTTATTTTATTTTATTAGCAATTTTATGAATAATAATGAAAAAAAATAAAGGAAAAAAATTAATTTTCTTAGGATTAATTTGTAATGAATTTGGTCCATCACCGTCCATGGATAGCATTTTACTTTTTATTTAGGTTCAAAAAGTACTGAAACAACTTTTATCAGAACAAGTATCAGCAGAAAGTCATGGGGCAACTTTCCCACATGCAACTTCAGTCGCTTGGTTAAGAGTTAATACAGTAAAATTCCATTCCATAGGCAATTTATCAGGACAAGATTACAGAGAAAACTTACACTGATATAGACCACAGAGCTTTCATCTTACGAAAACCTAACATTACATATACTTACCTTTTTAAGTTCAACCCAAATCTTATAAAAATACTAAACTCCTGCTTTTTCTATTTATGTTCTTACCTAGGACTCACAGTTACTGGGCTCAGCAGTTGCAGATGGGTGACTATTAAGGTCAAGCATAGTTGCTGGGCAGGGCTTAGAGTTGGCACTTTGTCCTGCGCAGGACTTAGCGAGCTTCTGTTTCAGCTGGGAGATCAGGACCTGGTTCTCTTGGTTGAGTAGCTGAGCCTTCCTCCTTAGCCTCTCATTCTCCTGCATTATGTAGCAGTTCTGCAGGTATAACTTAGAATTTATCCTCTCCATTTAAAATTGCAGAACCTTTACTTTGTCCTGAAATCAACAGTAAGAATTTGAATCTTTATTTATAATTCATTATTACTCCAGAATATACTGTATGTTAGACCATCAAGTGGCTGATTACAAGAGCAAAATGAAGTCTTTTGATAGAAAATTATATATATGCAGAGAGAGAAAGAGAGAGATTCATCATTTATATAGATTATGGTTTCGATTGGGACAACTTTCTTACTGTTTTTTACCGCAGTTTTCTAGTATACAAATTTCTTAGGAAAAAAAAAAAGAAAAGATAGTGGTAGAATTGTTCCAAAAGAAGCTTATATGGTCTGATTTAGGCTTCGTTTGGGACGGCTTTTTTACCGCTTCTTAGAGCAGCTTTCTAATATAAAAATTTAAATTTTATACTAAAAAGCTGCTTTAAAAAGCAGAAAGAAAGCGGTTCCAAACGAAGCCTTAATACAAAAAGTTTGTACATGTAAAAGCCATTTTCATACCAGAATATGTCTCATCATTCGATTCATCTTTTCAACCAGCAAATTCCAAGCAGAACAACCCCCCTGTTCTTCTAAATAAAGAAAAAGGAATATTGTTCTAACTTACTGAAATAGAGAAAATCTCTCCTAAACCAAACAAGACAAAGTAATCATACAGAAATTCTCATCAAAGAAAACAAAAAAATCACAGACACAAATAGAATTCAAATACTTTTGTATGCAGCGATGGTTCCTTCTTACCACTATATGCAAAGCTGTAGCAACAAGCAAACTGATAGATAGATAGATATAAGTAGAGCTGCCGCAGAGGAAAGATAAAACCTTAGAGTTTTTCTCTGTTTACAGTCTCTTCATCTCTGAGATATGAGATTTATATATAGAGGAAAGAAAAGGGGAAACCTAATAATGACGAGGAAAAGAGGAGAAGAAGAAGCAGCAGCAGAGGAGCAAGATCTCATGGTGTCACGTGATGATGAAGGGTTGGGTCTGATGATGGGTTTAGTCCGCCCAAGATTCGCAATGATGGGTTTTACTTCTGGGGCCTTCTTCCTTCATCATTTCTCTTATGTATTACCATCATTATTATTATTTATAAACCAGAATCTAACCATAAAATTTCAAAAAAAAAATCTACCAGTTCACTATCTTAAATTGCAGCTAAAAGAGTTGTGCTATTATACGTTTTAAATTTTATTTTATATTTACGTTAGTGTTGCCTTAATTGTTTTTGCTGCAAACGTGATGATAATTGTCTACAGCGATGCCTTTTTTGGCATTCTCCACCATTATTCTATTAGTTATTTGTCTTTTGCCTAACTATATGGGGTTTGCTTTTGTATTTTTATTATTCTTGCTGCTTTGTTTTTCAGAACACTACTATAATTTCTATAATTTTTGACAACTATTTTTTAATTGCTTTTAATAAATTTTTGTACTATGAATTTATTTTCTACAATAATTTTTAAAAAAGCTGCTTTCTCTGTAGTAGCTTTACAATAACTTTATAAAAAGTTGCAGCCATCCCAAATGAACCTTCAGTCTCAATTGAGTATTGTATGAAGTGTAACTTGCACTTTTATTCAACAATAGTTCTCTGATCAACATTACCTAATTACATCCTCTGAACATCATTAATTGACCATAATATCCTAGCTATAGTCCTCCAACCGCCATCACTTGCCTCACTAATCTTTTCATTACTTTCGCTCGGCTACAGTCCTACGATCATCATTGCTTATCATCACCCAATTATGATCCTTTGACCACCATCGCGCGACTATGAATTTCCTAACCATGATCCTATGAACATCATATCCAGACCATAGCCCTCAGACCACCGTCGTTCAACTATGATCATCCAACCATTTTTAATATTCTACATACCATTTATTTATGTAAACTATTTATTTTTGCTTGTAATTCGAATTCCTTTCTCTCTGATAAACACATAAAAGACAAGTCAAATTTAAACTGTGAAAAATTATATATAAAGATATTGAAGAAGAGGAGAGAAATAACAAAGAGGAAAAGTTGAAACCAAACATTAATAGCATTAATGGAATGGTTCTGTGATAAAATGATGGCAAGAGCTGGCAAAATGATGATCATCCATTAATCCCTTCTGTGTGGATGGACTTGATGAGAGGGTTGTGGTGTTGATGACCTGCAGCTCTAATTACTGCAAACAGGGGTTTTTTTAGGGTTTCTTTCAGTAAATGCAGCACTTCTCCTGTGAGGTTATGAATGTGACCAGAACCATGATGGGTTTGGAAGGGTATTTGAGTGCACACTTACTGCTTTCATTGGACAAACCCAATGCTTTCTGAACCTTTTATCAATGCTAACTCTTCTATTAATGCTCACTGTTCAAAATGTTTTATGTTTTTATAATGCATCTTAGTGTGAATATTTTCTATGATTTTATTGCACACATAAAATACTTGTTTGTGTTTATATATATATATGTTAATTCTATGTAGATATGCATAATTTGAAAATTTTACCGTTAAATTGTCCTGCAATTATCTATGTTAATGAAGTTTTGTTTGTTGTGTAATGAAAATTTGACCGTTAAAAATGTTGTTTATAATTTTTCATTGAAAATTTAGGTTTCGTTTGGGATAGTTTTCTTACTATTTTTTAAATCAGTTTTTTAATACACAAATTTTTTAGTTAGAACTAAAAAATTTGTACTAAAAAAGTTGTTTTAGAAAGCACTAAGAAAGATGTCCCAATCGAAGTCTTAAACATTAACAAGCCTTTATCTCACTATGTGAGCTTGGTTGGATGAATTTTTTTTCTCCATCGTCTTATTAAGAGTCAAATTCTTATTTAAATTTAATAAAAATTATTATTTTTAATTCTTTTTAGATCTATGCTACAACAACGACAATATCAAGTTTTTATCCTATTACATGTAGGGGTGTCAAAAAATTGGATTCGAGTTGATCCGTTTAATAAAAGGGCTAGGTTCAGGTTGGGTTTGTACGACCTGTTTATTAAAATGGGTTGTATGTGTTGACCCGTCATCTCATTTTTGACATGATGATCTGTTTAATATTTTTTTAAATTTTTTTTTTTCACTTATAAGTATAATTTTTTTATCAAATATGTTAAATTTTATTAGTTAATGAGTTATAATTTTTTTAAACCAAATTGGATTAATGGGTCGGGTTTGGGTTGTTCAAGTATTTAGTGGGCCAAGTTTGGGTAGGTGTTTTTGACCCGTTTATTAAATGAGTCGAGTTTAGGTTGACTAGATTTTGGTCAGGTCAATTTTGGGCCGAACCCAAATTTGATCTAAAACATCTAGTCTCCTAACATAGTCATTTGAAGTCCAATGCTTTATGTGACCAAACGATCTAAGAGACTCTCTAATCTTATCTATCATTGGAGCTACTCTTAACTTTTTCACAGATATGCCGTTTTGCATTATGTCTCTAAGTGTAAAGCCACTAATACACCTAAGTATTCTCATCTCTGCAACACTTAAATTTTATGCTTCGGCCAATATTCTGCGCCACAAAAGTATTGTAGGTCTTATCATCATCTCGTAAAATTTTCCCTTTTAATGTTGCATGTTGAAGAAATATATTTTCAATCATTTCGTTTGAAAATAAATTTTTTTTGAGGGATTTTATCAAAGTTAATAACAAATTATTTTTTAATCTAATTTTTTAAAAATATATTTTCAAACTACAAGCGATCAAATGAGGCTTTTGTTTGTCAATTAACATTCAAAATTATAGGGAAAATCTGACAGCTGCAGCCATAAATTGGTGGAGAGCTCCAGCTGAGTTCAGCTCAGCTGATCAGAAATGTTTATCAGTCTTCAGGCTAAATAGTAAATACAGTGAGAGTGATGATGATTTTGTTTGCTTCATATTGGATTTCTCAGTTGTATGATAGTGTCATATGCTTCATTAGTCAACCTTCTCATTATGATTATTTTCAAAAAAAAAAAAAAAACCTTCTCATTATGATAAAAAAAAAAAAAAAAAAAAAAACTTTCAGTAGTAATTATAATAGTTGTGACTTTAAAAAATTTAAAAAAATCATGCTATAAATTATCAGTATATCTATTTATTTATATATTGCATAAGAAGTAAGAAGTCAAAAGGGAGAGAATTTTTCTTTTTTAAAGTTTAAATTTACAAAAAGGAGTTTTATTTAATATGTCTTATAGTTATAAATTATAACATTAATTAATTAATTAAATATTTTATTAAAATTTTACTTTTATGTAATTAAGTTTTTAAAACTATTTATTAAATTTATAAGAAATGTCATTAAATCTAATTTCTAATAGGGCAAAAATCATATTTTCAATAATTCTACACAGTAATAGAGATAGTAAAATATTATTTTATAAATAAATAAATAATAGATTAAATTTATATGTTTTATATTTTGTAATTGGTTAATAGATAAATAGAATAATTCTATGATATTATCATTTAGGTAATATAATAAAGGGTTGAGCCATGATGATATAATAAAATTTAAAACTATTTAATTGTCAGTTAGCTGATATAATTTCGATGTAATTATATGATAAAAGGAATGAGAAATATTTTATAAAATATAAAACATTGACATCAAAAAATTTATATAATTGTATTTTAAAACACGTAAATATATTTAAACAATAGAAAAAATAATTAGGAGTTCATTATCATCAAATTTTTGATAAACTATATAATTAATCTCTTATTTTACAAGCCCCTAATTAGAAAGGAGGATTTACATACATACCACTTTATTTCATGCTATTTACATATCTAACACCCAAAACATTAATATTATATGTATACCACCCATAGAACAAATTTGGGTATATGAAATGAAATATTAAAATTTATAGGATGATATAAATGATATGAATGAATTATAGGAGTGATACATTTAATATTAAAGTATTTGGATTAACAAATGGTTTTTAAACGTGATATGCTTATAATTGAATCGAGCGGCTCGACGAGGCAAATTCAACGAGCCCAAAATCATCAAATTTTGATATCATTAAGACATTCAAATGTTTGATAAAAGCTCGTGGGAATCAATACGGGTCATCCGATGGAGCACTCCAAACCTACCCCGGATCTTCTCTATATTTACGAGGTGTGCCACTCATGAAAATCTATAAATAGACTCTCACTCTCTATATGAGGGGGACATTTGGTTAAAGATTGGAGAGAGCTCTGAAACTTCAAGAGCTCCAACACTACAGCACGGCAGCCAACCGCCATCGAACTTCAACCCAACAGCCGTCGGACTATCGCCCGGCAGCCGACCGTGCTGGAATTCAGTCTGACCTTCATCGGATCACCTCTGACAGCTTCCAAACTTCCACCCAGCAATCGAGAGTCGTCGGACTTCCCCGTCAGCTGAACTTCTGTCCGGACACCATCAGACTTCTACCCGACCGTCGTCGGACCTTTATCTAACTTTCCAAACTACTTTAATTTGACTGCCCCTAAGTCAAAGGACGGGTCAACATTTGTAATTCTCTCAAATTTAGTGGAATCTTTTCACCTGAGAGAGGCCCCGTGATTTTTTCCTCTTTGGACTTTCAACGTAAAAAAGATCGGTTGTTTACTTCTCTCTTTCTGTTTACATGCTAGATATCTGTGCATTGCTAAGATGAAAAGTTTACTCACTTTACCGCCACGAATATCCTAGCCGTCAACAGGTCTCATTGTCTTTTAATATTTAGGGTTGAAACCTAAAATCACCATAAGGAATAATCTTTAGGGTAAATTGGATTCATAAGCAATTTCAGCCAATTGTAGCGGATAAAATCTAAGCCGCGGTTGACGAAAATTTCCTCTTTTT